CCTCGGGAGCCCTTGGGGGCAAAGGGCAATCTTAACCCTGGCGAGTCGGTCGCCGGGGCTGGGGGCTGCGGCCTGCGGAAGGCCGCGAGAGGGAACAGGTGGGACCGGTGGGGGCCAGAGGAGCCAAGGCAGGGAAGGTCTGGGTCTGCGCGGCTAGGGAGCCTGGCCCAAGGCGAGGAGCGTTCCACGCCGCACTGGGGAACATCCACCGCCTCTAGGTCGCCTCCGGACGAAGCTCCAGCATCCTCACTGTCTCTTCGCTCTCCCCCAAGTACGCGTCGTACTCTTCACGTCCGACGTCTTGTTCCTGGACTTGCTCCTTTTTGACGCCTCTAGCTCTACTCTTCTCGTTCTCCATCCGCCCGGGCTGTCCTCCCAGCAATTCCCCCAGCGAACCTGACCTCGGTTTAACCTCGGCCAAGGACTTAAGCATCTCTCTCTCTCTCTCCCGCCCGCCTCCTTAGGTTGGGGCCCAGACAGGCTGAGCGGTTTCCCTACACCTCCCATCCCTATTCTCCTCCCTGGGTTGCCTGATCATAAAGCGTTTTCGTAGCCCACCTGTGCCTTTCAGAAACCTCTTGATTTCTGATTGTAAATTGGACGTGTAGATCTATCTGTAAGGGCTCAGAGTCCAGCCTCACCTCTTCTTTCTCCCTAGCTGCCCCTCTTTGTAAAATCCATTCCTCTCTTATTAGTTCCTGGCACAGAATTCATCTGGCCCTTGACCCAGGAGCAGAGCCATTTCTGCCCCTCTCCCCACATTCTGGCCTGGTGTGTTCTGGCCAGGCTGTGTACAGGTCTGGAATGAGTCCAGCACTGTCCTGCAGAACAGCATGGTGGTGGCCTGCCTTTGCTGCTGCTGGCACTAACAGAAACCCCTGAAAATTATCTACCTGTCCCAACTGACTCCCATCCTCTTGTGAGGAGCCCCCAAGTGTGCAATCAGTTTTCTGCCCCATTCTGACCCAGATGAAATGTCCCAGGGGACACTGTTCGGCCTCCCCCCACCCCAGAAGTTCCCCTAGGCCCTTTTCTGATCTCTCTCGTCTTTACCATCCCTTCTGCTTCCTGCCTCACTGTCCATCCCTTGCAGGGGCTTCCACTTCTACCTCCATGTCTCCACTTCTGGGCTTTTACCCTAGATAATATTATCAAAGGATGGTTTCTTAACTCAATTCCTATCTTCATCTCTTTAGCCCACTCTCTAAACCTACTCTTCAGTGTGGCCTCTGGACCAGCAGCACTGACATCACCTAGGAGCTCGTTAGAAACATAGAATCTTACCCAGACCTGCAAAATCAGAACCTGCATACAAATGAGATCCGAGGTGATTTATACATATTACATTTGAGAAGCAGGGCTCTCAAAATCTCCCCAAAGCTGTTCCATACTTGCTGCACTTCCTTCTTCAACCTTCTTACTTATCCCTGGCTCTCCTAATTTCAGCAGGTACCTACCTCTCACCTAGTGAAGGGGATTCAGACAACCTTGCAGAAGCCTGCCAGCTCTCTCAGTGGTTCACACTCATCCATGTTTCTCAGTCTCTTCCCATTCTTTCCTCTCCTCCCTCTCCAGAGATGGATGTGGAATCTCTTTCTAAGTCCCATTTCTGCTATTCCTGAGATGACCTTTTAGGATCTTGATCTTCCCTCTTTTCTCTATTCAGATCTCTCCAGGTTTTTTTTTCTTTTTCTTCTTCCTTTCTTTCTGCTCTTAGTCCTGCAGATTGAATCTAGGATCTTGCTCACACTAAGCAAATTCTCTATCACTATGCTATATCCTCAGCCCCTTAAAAACATTTTATTGTGAATAGGTCTTGCTAAGTTGCCCAGTGCCTCAAACTTCCAATTCTCCTACCTCAGCCTCCCCAGTAGCTGAGAGTATAGGAGTGTATCACGACCCTTCCCCTTTTTGGTACTGGGGATTGAATTCAGGGGCATTTAACCACTGAACCACATCCCCAGCTCCCCCCTTGCTTTTTTAAAGACACGATCTCACTGAGTTGCTTAGGGCCTTGCTAAATTCCTGAAGCTGGCTTTAAACTTGAGATCCTCCTGTCTCAGCCTCCCAAGCCCCTGGGGTTACAGGTGTGCACCACTGCGCCTGGATTAGATCACCCCATTCTTAAAAGAATTTCTCTTGTTCCCATCTCTTTCTTCAGAATGTGGGGAGAGGGGCAGAAATGGCTCTGCTTCTGGGTCAAGGGCCAGATGAATTTTGTGCTAGGAACTAATAAGAGAGAAATGGATTTTGCAAAGAGAGACAGCTAGGGAACTTTCTGAGAAAGTTCACAGGAGCACTCCTCCAAGGATGCAGCCCTAGCAAGCCCCTCCTGGAGCCCAGCTGCTTACTTGCTTCTGCTTTCAGACTCAGTGATCTCTCTGGTGCTCCAGGTCCTCTGACCTCCTGAAGCATGAGCTCACCATACCTCCTCCTCCTCCACCTCCCCCTCCTCCTCCCATGATCCTGGGGAAGCCGTCCTGATGACCAGAGCACTGACTGCTTCTTCTCCTACTCCCTAAGCACTCCAGGGCTGCTGCACTTGTTCCCTTATCTTTTTCTCCTCTCAGAGGAGTGCTCTGTGCTTGCACAGTCTTAGAGACCCTTTTTGGAGAAATGATCTCCTAGCATTGGGCCTCTGTCATGCTTCTGTGTGTGCTGACCATCAACTGAGGACAGAGCTGGGCTAGACCATGGCACAGGAGAAGAGCATCCACTTACAGGAAGTGTCTCTATCACACGTGGCTCTGCATGTTGGCCTTAGTGGAGCTGTTTGGTATCCACACACTCATTTCCTAAAAACCAGTGCTTCCCTGTGCATGTCTCATATCACCTCCTCCTGCTCTGCACCAGGGTTGGGACTTGAATTATTTTTAATACTTTTCTGTCCCCTGTTTGTCAGGTTTTAAGTATTCTCTCTTCCATGTCCCTCTCCCTGACCCAGTGCTCACAGAGAATATTTTTTTGGGTACCAGGGATTGGACCCAGAGGTGCTTAAATACTGAGTCACATCCTCAGCCCTTATTAAATTTTTTTTATTTTGTGACAAGATCTTGCTAAGTTGCTTAGGACGTCACTAAGCTGCTGAGGCTGGCCTCAAACTTGGGATTCTCCTACTTTAGCCTCCAGAAATGTACTTCTCCAGTGGACTCCACCCTGGCTTGAAGGAGCTATATGCCCTGTCCAGTCATAGCCTCCTCATCTCTCCGTCAGCTGCTCACTCCCCAAACATCCTCCATCCTCCATCCTCCTGCTTGAATTGGGCCATCACCTGCTTAAGAATTGTTAAGAAGTGTCTCTCAGGGCTCCCCAAAAAGACATTTAGCAATTCAGCTTAGGGAAATTCTAGGTCCTTTGATGGCTGATCCAGTTTCTCTTGCCAGCCAACTTTCCCTCTCTTCCTTGTTCATCTAACATGGAAATGCTCATCATTGCTCAAACTCAGTTCCCACACTCCCAGCTCCAAGTGAGTTTGTTTTACTGTCCCGTGCAGCAGGAATGCCCTCACTTAGGCAACACCTTTGTGCCAAGAGGCAACAGGGTCCCTATGTCTTTAATAGTGTTGCATCATGTTTCCAGAAAATTCTCCCCAAGGTAGTTTTAGCAGACAGATACTCAGAATTAGCCTGTGACAGAAAGGAAATCAGTCATAAGTTGGGGCAGGCTCTTGACTTGCATGGGTTTTGATTCTGTCCTGACCCCATCGAATAGAAAGGAGCCGGCCAGGATGGCATAAGAAGGTTCCCAGAACCTGCAGCCCCAGAGAAGGGTTTCTGGGTTAGAGCTATAGATCTAAGGAGCAAAGCCTGTGGGTGATGAGGGCCCCAGATAGAGAGGCCAGTGCACGAATTCAGGGTTGGTCCTTGGGATCAGAGATGAGGATCTTGGCCTTAGATCCAGTTGAAAGTCCATTTCTTGGAATTCCATATGTTTTTATTTTGCTTTATTTATCTCAGTTCCTTTGGCAGATTCCCCATTTCTACCTGCTGCAACTGCTTCATAGGAATTTGGGGGGCCTGCTGTGACTGTGAATACAGAATTGGAGGGGTGGTGGTGACAGAAGAGACTAGATCAAAGCCTACTGAGAATGTCACTCCCTTTTTTAGGCCTGGGTTCACCCTCAAAACCCAGGCTGGAGCCTCTGACCTCACCCTTCCCCTTCATGATATTTATGCTCTTGTCATGTGTTCAGTGCTAGAAAATAAGTGAAGAATAAACTGAGCCCTGTCCTTGTGGAGCTCAAGGCCTGGTGTGGGAGCCTGGAAAGCACTCAATATCACTCCAGAGTACTCGGGAGGCAGAGGCAGGGACAAATGCAGAAGAAGAGCCTTAGCCTGAGACAGGAGAAGGGCTTCTGGGGCAGAAGGATCAGCCTACAAAATGACAAGCAGAGATGAACCAGTGAATTTGCTGCACTCCCTTTCAAAGGTGAAGGGCTTTTAGCATCATGCTGGTGCCTGGCATGCCACACTAAGAGGCTTGGAATTAGTCTGACCGTAGAACAACATTTTTTAAGTCAAAAGGGGGGGGCTTACCCCCTTTTTTTGTTGTTGTTTGTTTTTCACCTGATGTACGTTCAAACCATAGAAAACAGATTCAAGGTGTATTAAGCTGAGCTACCCTTGCCCAGGATGTATGTTGTGCAGAAGCGCCCCCTGGAGGTCCCAGAATGTCAGTCTGGCACTTGGATCCACTTCCTGTTAATTACCCTGATGGGAATTAAAATGGAAGAATAGGAAAATTAAAGTATGCACTAGTTATGGCAACTCATGGAATTCCACAGAGAAAACAAAAAAAGAAGAGAGCCATTCCAGAAGGTTTCCTGGAAACTGTACTCCAACTCTCTGTTGACTCCTGAAGTTTCCTCAATCATTTCAGAAAACAAACAAACAAACAAAAAAACACACCACAAGTGTTAATCTTCCCTTCGGATCTACCCCACTCATGGCATCCAGGCTGAGTTATTTAATCTTGAATAATAACACAACGGCAGCGATAATGGTAGACCCTTGGGCTGGAGAGTTGAGTTCCTATTTCCGATTTCTGGGCTGGAGCAAAGTCTGGATATGACCCCTCCTTATTCCTGGCTGTCCACACCCCTGCCAATCACAACCTCAAAGACTATCCGTCTCAGTCCTCACTGTGGAGTAGGAAAGGACTTTCTCTGTGCAACAAGAGAGGCCCACTCCATGGTATTTTGCAGAGCCCTGCTATCCCCTTTTGTTCATTCTCTGGCTTGCAGAGAGGCTCCAGGGCCTAGGGCTTTCTAACTTTACACCAGAACAGTACCCATCACTATCCCGGGCTGGCTACCCCTTAGGTATTCATAAGCAGTGGAAAAAAAATCTTCAGCCAAAAGTCCACATATATGTATTTTACTGATGGAACAAGATCAATCACTTTCTCAGATTGCTCATGGGTGGGTGGGGCAGCAGGCAACAGGAAAGGAAGCCATCACCCCTGAAGTAGAGCAGGGCAAGGTAAAGGGTGAGGGGAGTGTCAGGGGATGGGTAGGACGGGCCTATTCCTCTTCTTTTTTTAAATATTTTTTTAGTTGTTGATAGATCTTTATTTTATTTATTTATACGTGGTACTGAGAATCGAACCCAGTGCCTCACACATGCCATGCAATGCGCTACCACTTAGCCATAGCCCCAGGCCCTATTCCTCTTCTTTTCCTGGGTAAAGTGGGGAGAGGGCCTGGCAGAGGTTGATTCTTCATGAGGTTTAGTCTTTAGGATCTCATCCACACTGGCTCCTTCCAAGATGCCTTCAGGGTTTCTTCTGATGGTTATATGTAATTGTGCATTCACAATTCTGTATTCTTCTTAAGGACCTGGACCTTCCAATTTATAGATTTCAGGCAAAACTTATATCTTTTAGTGGTATCTGGAGTTGGGTAGGAACAGTTCAGGTAAGAAAGAGCAAAAATCTAAATTAGGACATGGCCAATGGGACATTTAAGGATGTTCAGGGCCAATGGTAGCTTGTCTCTAACAGTTGGCACCACATATTCTTGGCTAAACTTGAATATTCACACCAATATGTCACTCCATTCACCACTCCAATTAATATGGTCAAGAGGCTGGGCCCACATCTGTTCAATTTGTTTCATATGGAATTTAGGGCTACTATCAAGAGAACTTCAGATAGTAAGATGAAGCCAATCTTCAGTATTAGCTTCAATCACGCCAACCCAAGGTTTCAGTCCCGGTCACCTATGAATATATTCCAAGGGAATATTTAGATCTTATTTTAGACAGCCAGGATATAGTCTAAGTCCAGGACATTCTCCATTACAACATGCACAAATGATTTTTAGCTTATCTTTGATGTCACTACAATAATTATAGGAAGGAATAATGAGTCAAAAGTCAGTCCCCATGGCTAATAGAGAGACAATCCACACCCCCACATACAAACATACAACCCCAAAGAGTAACATATCATTTCAATTCAGGATTGGTAGCTGAATTTGATTTGGATCACCATGAAACTAGTTTGGTTCAGCCACATAGGATATGTCACCAAATAGCTGCAGCTTTGGTCACTATACATGAACTAAGGCCACTTGGGTTACAGGAAAAGCACATGCATTTGTACCAGATTGAAACAAGGTTGTGCTGAATGTTGTTGTACATTCGTCATGGAGGAGCTTCCATATTCAGGAACTGCCATAACAGGGCACAACTGAATAATTGAGAACTGGCTTTGCCCATATGCATTTCTCTGTTTTCATATCACCTGGGCAGCATGATCAATTTAGAGGGCGTCGGGTTGTCAGCTGAAGCTGCTGCTCATCTCAGATGGACCAGATGATGGTTTTGCGAGGCTGCAGTGCTGAATCTAGGGAACAAGGGGCACATTAATCTCTCCCCACTCTCTGTACCTTCCTGTGTCTGAAGGTGTCTTTTTACTAGGCCTCAATGGCTGTGAAAACAGTGTATGCCATTCCAGTAGCTATAACTTCATCTTTTTTCTAATCTTTCCCTAATCATACCTAGACCTTTTGGATGGGCTGGGCATGAGAAGGACTAAAGCCTTTTTTAATGAAATGTTCAGAGACTTGTTTTTTCTCCCAACTTGGCCTGTGTGGGCTGGTGTGGGAGGCTTGGCACATGGTGTGCTCAGCCAAGTGGCCATTACCTTTGTGATCTAGGTCCACATTAATCCATCAAGAGAATCTAGGTGCTAAATCAGAGTGAGAATTATGTTTGCCAGACTGACACCTGGAGTATTTACCAACCCGGCTGGCCTGGGGTTGCTGTTACAGAAAAAAAGGAAAAAAAAAAAAAGAAAAGAAAAGGAAAAGGAAAAGCACCATTGTCAAGAATGATCAGATCCCAACCTTCAGAATAGCTCTATGCAATCTTCTATCCCTTTGTCCTGATAATTACCCAGCAAGAGGCCAAGAGGAGGTGATCCTAGCCTGGCAAGAAGTCGTGGCTTCTGCATCAGAACCTAAGAGTTCTTTGCATTGCACCTAGCCTATGATGGTGCATGTGCTGCCATGTCTGGTTTGATGATGGATCCCGGCAATGATGGTGATGATATGGGTTGGTCTTATTCCAGAAGGACCCTTACCATGGGCATCTCCATCAGTGACCCAAGCTGTCTGATGGGCAGCTGATTCTGTTTCCACAATTTGTGGGCTCCAATCTTGTGAACAAGACATCTAAGCCATTAGAAATAGCAGAAGATGGTGACAATGCGAGGCTCATCATGGGCTGTGTTGTTCAGGACTATCAGCATCGCCTTGAGTTCTGTCAGCAGCTCTGTGGGTCTGTTAGCTCATGCAGGATAGAAATTAAACTCAGCTAACAAAAGAGGTTAGTAAGAATTATATGTTGCATTGATTCACATAGCAGGGTGGCAGAATAGCAAGGCAAGGTGTCTGCTTCATAGAATAGCAAGAAAATATGATTGTTCTATTGGCAGAGTGGTGAGGAAAGGTAGGTACCTCATAGGTGGAATGGCAAGAAAATTAAGAGGTGAACAGCAGTGTATGTTTGAGGACTAGAAATTAGCATATTCATAAGTTACATTGCAATCTTTCATTGCAGCTGTACCAATGCACACAGTTAAAAAGGTACCTAAAATTGTGTTAGGTCTCCTCCCCTGGACATATCTTTTAACATGTAGATGCATTTAAATGACAGCCTCAGTTGCTTTGGGGCAAGCAGTTGTGTCAGATCTGTCTGCACTTGTTTAATGCTGTCCTGTTGTTTCTCCTGAACAATGAAAGTGGTAGGGGAAGGTCCTCCTGCCATGTATTTCAAGCACAGAGCATGCCTTTTTTTTCTTTTTAAATATTTTTTTAGACATTGATGGACCTTTATTTAGTTCATTTATTTATACATGGTGCTGAAAACTGAACCCAGTGCCTCACACATGCTAGACAAGCACTCTTCCATTAAACCACAACCCCAGAGCTGCAGTTTTTTTTTCTAACTCAACTCTGTACTTACCCCTGTACTTCTTCCTCACAGTCACTGAGCAGATCGACTATGCCCCCTTTTGATTCTGCATAGTTGGCAATAGGTTGAACATGGACACCATAAGGCATCAGCTTAGCCAAACCACCAGCATGCCAGACCAGGCACTGAGGGAACCCTCAGTGACTTGAGCTTTACTTTAGGTGGTGAAGTATGGAAAAAAATTTCCCCCACAGGGATTTTTGGTGCTACTTTTTCATGAAAAATCCATATAATGCTAGAGCCAGGGCAACTGTGCTTGCTCTTGAATGTAACATTTCTATTTGACAAGTAAGGACTTTTGTGCCCTTCTTTTAATAATCACAGGATCTCAGTTAACACATCTCAAAATGGGGGCTTCAGTATGGACAGTGACAGGACCTCAGGATCAGTAACAAGAGTAGTTTCCTTTTTAAAAAGGGGAAAAATGTGCTTGGTGACTATGTCCAGCAGGGGGCGCTGTTGCACCGGAAAATGACCTATCAGTAATCTGAGAGTCACTGATCAATGCTCTGATTTCCTTTCTCTTCTTGAAAGTCTATACTGTTTCTTCTGGACCATCCAAGAAGGCTCAGGAAACACCTTTGTACCTGCAGCATTCTCTGAGTGAGACCGCTCTGATTCTTACAGGCAATCAGTGCAAGCCTGCACAACATCACTACCAGCGATACATTCAGCACTGAAATACATTCAGCAGTGGAAGCATTGAATTGAGCCAAAGTCCCAATAGTCCATATTACTTTAATTTGCTTCTCTACTGCAAACTTTGTTCAAAACCCATTAGTTGAACTTGGGTGATTTTTTTTTTTCATTCAGGGCAAACAAACCAAGGAGCTTAGTGTTGGTGCTACTAGTTGCAGATCATACAATTCCAGCTTGGAGAACAGGAAATACAGGGTAGGTGGGCAACTCTTAGTGGGCAGCTGGGAGGCTTTTATTTGTCCTTGGCCTCTAGTTTCAGAGTTGTCATTGCTGCTACTTCTCTCCCTGTGGACCTCTAGATCTGTCCAGAGGGTGCTTGAGCCTAGGGAACACTTTCATTTTTGCCCACTCTTCATTGCAGTCCTTGGTGCCTTCAACCATCCCTGCATGCATCCACATGGCTAGGTAAGATGGTGGCCCAGGACCTTGGGCTCAAGAGAGCTGTAAGTTTTGAGGTCCTTACCACCACGAAGATCCTAGCACACTCAGCTTTTTCATTTAGGCAGCTGGGTAAACTGAAGAGGGAAGAGAGGGACCAGGGAGAGAACAAGACTGCCAGTAAGCAAGGCTTTGTGTTCACTTTTGGATGTGGGTGGCCACCTGTGGGGCTCAACCAAATAAATTTGTGGGGTTTTGATTCACCTAAAGCTCCATATTAAACATCATGGTTGACACCATTTATTTCAGCTTTGGGGACTCTTTGATTCATATTGCCAGCCACATTCATATTGCCTTTTGGGTGGGGCTTCAGGGCTTGCTCCCTAAATGGCATGACGTCACTTCCTCCCTCAGCATGAGGGAGCATGAGCAAGAACCAAGGCAGCATTCAAGTGACTACCTCTCACTTTGTGATTTCATTAACAGGTAGGACAGTGTAATACTCTTACACTTTCATCCTGTGACCCACTAGGGTGAGAAAAATTCACCAACATATTCCAGGAAGTTTTTCGTATTCCCTAATCTGGTCCACAGGGTCCTTTCCTTCCTCTTCCAGAAAACCATGTGTATTTTAGCATCCCATCCTTGTTGCTAAAACTGTCAGCATCTGGCATTTGAATTTACTCTGCTGATAAGTTAGTAATTAGCCTTTTACTGGTTCATGGATGCTGGCAAAGGTAAGACTCCTGGATCAGAGATGAAGGACTTTATTATGTGAAGAAGCCTGACAGTAGATGGGGTAGAGAGAGAAGATGGGAGGGAAGGGGGGATAGGAAGGGGATAGGAAAGGCAGCAAAATACAACAGACACTAGTATGGCAGTATGTATAAACGTGGATGTGTAATCAATGTGATTCTTCAATCTGTACACGTGGTAAAAATGGGAGTTCATAACCCACTTGAATCAAATGTATGAAATATGATATGTCAAGAGCATTGTAATGTTTTGAACAACCAATAAAAAAAGAAGCCTGATAGATATTGCATATGCAGTGGGTTTGTGTGGCATTGGAGGAACACCAAGCTTAGGGAACCCACCTGTTTTATAGTAGGATAAGCAAGCCTATACTTTATCCTGGAGGGAGATATTACCTCATTTCTCAAGGTTGTTCACTACAAAAATAAGCAATAGTATACTTAAAGAATAAATATATAATATGATATCCAGAAGTGACTGGTATAATTGAGAAAATAGGGCTGAGTGAGATGATAGATATTAGCAGTTTCATGTTGTTTGACCTAATATGTATATAGTAATTTAGTATAGATGGTTCCTGATTTATGATGTTGGGAATTAAGATCTTTTGACTTTACCCCAGTGCGAAAGCATATCTATACAATCATTCTGGTTTTCACTTTCTGTATACTGTTCAATGTTACATGAGCTATTCATCACTTTATTATAAAACAAGTTTTGTGTTAGATGATTTTGCTCAACTGTAGGTTGGTGCATGCATTCTGAGCACATTTAGGGTAGGTGAGGCTAGGTTAAGTTATGATGCTTGGTAAATTAGTTGTTAAGAGCATTTTTTAAAAATAATGAGAATCGAAGCCAGGGGTATCTACCACTGAACGATATCCTCAGACCTTTTCTTATTTTTTTATTTTAAGATAGGGTCTCGCTAAATTGCTGAGGCTGGCCTCAAATTTGTGATCTTTCTGCCTCAGCCATCTGAGTCACTAGGATTATAGGCATGCAACACCATGTCCAGCATAAAAGCATTTTTTGACTTAACAATATTTTCAATTTATAATGGGTGTATTTGGATGTAATCCCATTGTAAGTTAAGGAACATCTGTTTTTCTATTTTCACCATTAATTTATTTTTCTTCCTTTTTTGTCTTTTTAGAGCTTTATAGTTATACATAGTAGTTGGGTTTGTCCCTAAAATTCATATATGCATGAAATTTGATTTCAGTTCACAATTTCCCTTGTTCCTTCCCCTTTTTCCCTCTTGTCTTCCCTCCTTCCCTTATCCTTCTTTACTCTCTCTTCTAGACTTCCTTTCACCAGTCTATTAATTTGTATTTGATTGGTTCCTTATATAATCTTATCCTTCCCTCCCTCCTTTCCATATTTTACTCTAGCTTCTGTATATAAGAGAAAATTTTTGACCTTTGAGTTTCTGAGTTTGGCTAATTTCACTTGGTATGATATTCTCCACTTCCATCCATTTACCAGCAAATTCCATAATTTCATT